TATGGTCATCCATTGATCCATGATCATTTGTCATCCCCCTTCAAGACTGTTGATCATCGTCTACGGTCATCTGTGATTGTTAAGCATCGTGTATGCAAACAAGATTTTTACCCATAATCATTTGTAGATAACTTACCCATTTATACTGTATAGAATTATTTTGATAAATTATCCAGTTATTTCTATCATTATGATGATAATAATCATCCATATTATATATTATCCATCATCTATAATTTACCAGTTATCGATGGATGAATAAAAAAATAACCTCACCGTGGTGGCGTCACTGGAATCATCCACAAATGACCGCAAGTTTCAGCTATAACTTGAGGTTCGTGATATATATTAGAATTCAGCCATATAAGATATATATATACCCATACGATCCATGTATGGTATATATGCTAACATTTGGGATATATTGATGGTAAATGTTACCATATATAGCATACATGGATCCTATGGGTATATATATACACCGTACCAATCATTTGCATATCGTCATTAATCATTTAATCTTGTATAGACAGATATTCATTTGTAATCTATAGTCAGCTGGAATCATCTCGAAAATGTGCCTTGTTCAATCATAATCTATGAGGATAATCTATAACAATCTATACAAAATCTACGATCATTTGTGTATATATAAGATTCTATAAAGAAAAACACCACATCTATAGTATCAACACTATAAGATTCTATAGAAAACATCCATCCTATAGTATCAACAATCTATAGAAACAACTACAATAATCTATCCTCATCCAAGGCACCACCAGCGCCGCACCCGGCACCAAGGTCGGGCAATTCGGTCTTCTTGGCCACCAAATCACGAGGTTGGGCAACACATGTGGCAACAAAAAAAGATGTGAAAAGATGAAGTATATCCAAGTATATCCAAGAACTGAATATCTATGATTCAGCTTTTGAACGGAGTTTTGATCCATTGCCATATATATATATATATGCCATTGTGTTTTCCAACTGGTGCTTCAACATTGGTTTTACCACCATGAAAGTCAGTTATTTTCATCCATTTTCCATGGCTATGTTTGATTGCCAGAGGCCCAAAACATTGGTCCCAGGACCTTCAGTTTTGACCAATAAGCCAAGATCCATATCCATAACATGAAATCCTATGCATTGCATCCAGGTCACCTTAACTTGGATGGTGAAGTGAAGATTTCATTTGGTCTAGAGTTGTGAATTGCTGGCTATTTAGGTTCCAGGTGCATCTACAATCACCTGTACATATATATATACATACATATATATATATATATACATACATATATATATACATATATATATATATATACATATACACATACATACATATATATATACATATATATATATATACATATACATATATATATACATACATATATATATATACACATATACATATACATATATATACATATACATATATATATATATCCATACACAATTAATTATATGAATATAGATGTATATATTCTCTATATTCCCATCCTTCCCGGAAAAAATAACTCCACGTCGGATGGTGAGTGCCAGGAACTCGGGATCCTCGAGTGCAGAGGTATCAGACCTTCCACAGACAAGAGAGCAGGCGCTTGCGTTCCGGCCAGGTGGTTTTCGTCGCGGTTGTAACATAATACCCTCTGGTAAACTAACATAGCTATGGAAAATCACCATTTTGAATGGGAAAATCCACCATTTCTATGGCCATTTTCAATAGCTATGTTAAATTACCAGAGGGTAATGATCGGATAATGGTGGTTGATCATGGTGAAAAACGGGTGTAACATGGGTTTGGGAAAAAGGGTTTAAGAATACATGTCAATCTTTTGTAATGGGTGTATTTGGTGAAACATGGTGTATAATGGTTAGTAATGGGTGTATAGTGTATGAGAAACAGTACTGGATGAAGAACGGTCAGTTGGAATAGTGCAGTAAGACCCCAAAGGCCACAATAAAGGTGATGACTTGGGGATGGTGTAGATGGCATGGGGTGAATCCCACATGAAACTAAATAGACTACACACTCACACCAGGTATTGAACTTTAAAAGGAATTTGAACGGTTGTGTTTACGTAAGGTTACCATAGTTTCAATAGTTTTATGAGTTTAATATGGTTTTGCAATGTGATAAACCCAATTGTTTGTTTTCTAAATTGGATGGTTTACTATTGGGTTTACCCCATTAGTATGTTTAGCATTAAGGATGAATCAGTGAATGTTGGGGAAGTTGTTGAATGTTCACTGAAAAAAACAAGTTGGATCGAACGTGTGAATCCATTGGTGGCAACTTTTGAAGACCCTTGAATCATCCTGCAGCAGTTTCATGAGACATTCATGGAGAGCACGCATGATTTGGGGTTGATTCCCAATATCCAGCCGCAAGTGCTGGGCGCGCATTCAACTCAGCTCGCAGCTAGAACTAGATGACATACTACAATATAAATACTTACATGCCCCCCACCAAGAGTGGGTAGTGAAGTTTGATAGCAAACTCCCAAGAAACGTCGACAATTCTGGTGGTCATTGCTCTGGTTGGAGGCTAGGTACACACCTCCTTGCATTGATATAAAATGATATAATTATATATATATATGCATATGTATAGGCTCAAAATCGTTGGGACAAAAAAAACATATTTAATCAATCCAACAAAAAAATGAAGAGGTTGGTGTTTGTGCCCCTTTCATTCAGCCATATAGATGTATAGTGTGACACCGTGTTTTCTTCGTCCTATGGGATGGGTACCAGCCAAACTCTCAAAAACCATCGGAATCATTGATTTGTGTTTTTCAATTTCATTGTCATTTTTCCAAGTGCATCAACCCCCCAAAAAAAGACAAGAAATGCAAAATCCTACTGAAATACAGTAGCAGTAAATAAGTCTTCTATGATGTTCTATGTGTTTGTTCATTTTCTTGCAGGGGTTTACTATAAAATGTTCAAGAGTTTACTATAAACTCCATCTGCAATTTTCTCAGGGCACCCATTCGCTCTGCTGAGCAGCTTCGATTCCCGGCAGGATGCGTGCACGTCGTCGCGCCATTCAAGCGGATGCATCTCGGCGCTTTCGATGGATTGCGCGGATAGAACTGGGTTAGAATTGGATGAAAATCCTATGAACATGGTCTCAAATCGTGACTTGCCAGAATTTCATAAGATTTTAAGAATGAACATATGGGCATATAGTTGGATATATATAATTTATATACGATGGTTGGTTGATGATTGCAGGAGGTCATATTATCCAATTGGTGACTATGATCATCCATTAACTGGGAATCCCGAACGTGATCAACCAGCAAGAAGGAAGGCCATTTGGGGTATTGAACACTGCTCTGTACCCATAGGATCCATGGTGCTGGTATATATGCTAACATGACTGGGGTATATTGATGGGATCCATGTTACCATATATAGCAGCACCATGGATCCTCTGGGGTATGCAAATCACTGATTTCTTGGGGGCCGTGACACACAGTGATTGTCAAACCTTGAGGTGATGGGCCAGAGCCGAAGATGCATCAAGTTGGCATTCAGGTGGCTGAGACGAATTAACCAGCTCGACCGAGTTCCAACGGTCCCTTCGGTGGTGGTGGTCGTGGTTGGACAACTGAGAATTGTTTGACAAAAAATGGATCAAAAGTCCCCTTCTAGAAATCCTGAGGATGTTTCTTCTATTCAATTTTGGTCCCTGTTTTTTTTGTTTGTGGGTGTATTTTATCGAGGAATGGCGTAATTTTTCCGTGTCTCTTTGCTAATCATGCCTTAAACTTTTCAAGATGCCAGGTATATGCAGATGAATCATGCAGAGCGAATCGACTACTTGAAAAAACTCTTTGACAGCAAAATGTCGAAGGCCTGAGTCCCTGAGTTAAAGTGATACAGCTGATCTGGATAGCCATTATGGGATATAATATGATAATATAACAAGATATGTGAATCCCAGTATATCCCCATTGTTTAATAACTATATCTTCCAATAGGTTTAGGTAGTATAACCCACACGCTTGTGAGGGTATGGGATAGAGTGGGGTATTGGGATGAACCATCGAATCAAAACCTGCGAACTTGCGCGGACAGGACATGGCAATTGTCGCTGGGAAATAGTCGATTCCAGAAGCATGGTCTGTGGAAATGACATACGCATAGGATCCATGGTGCTGCCATATATGGTAACATGGATCCCATCAATATACCCCAAATGTTAGCATATATACCATACATGGATCCTATGGGATATGAGATATATGATCAATTCGTATCAAATCCTATTTTTAATTAGTTGACCTTCAGCACAGACGGAAGTGCCTGCGCTGGGTATGAAGTTTGGACCACCTTATGAAGAATGTCCCTTCTAAGTTTCTCCTGATTGCAAGAAGTGTACCGCATCTTGGATTCTTGTTTACTGGTTTACTAGATCCACCACGTTTGTAGCATAGATATGCATAGATACAATACTGACAGTACGGATACATACATATATATATTACACACACAAATCATCATGTTTTGCCATATGTCCACTGGCTGTGTTCCAGTGCCCGCAATCATGATACCGGGACACTTCTTCTGTGCTTGCCGTGCTTGTCATGGGATGGCAGGGTGGCAGCGTCAACCGTCCTGAACAGTATGGTATCTCCAATGAGGACAGGGGGGGCTGCTGTTTTCCCCCACTTGGGCATGGGTAAAAAATGTGGTACCTTTGACCTAGAATTATAATGAATTAAGGACCCACCAAGCCAGGGTTTGAGCTGTGTGTTCTTCGGAACATCCTGAACTAAGGGAAAATGATCTCACTGTCCTTGGGCAGATTATACTCAACCAACCTCACCATTCTGCAGTGGTTTGCATGTGGAATCATTTATAGTGAGTGCCTGATTGATACTGTTTTCCAACTCGTGGTGAAATTATCAGTTGCACAAAGCTGAGTGATTGTCATTTTCCCCACCACGTTTTCCCCGGTTTTCTTGGCTCCCCATGTTGAAGCCATGGATCCCAGCGATCCCAGCGGTCAGGAACTGAAAGGTTTGGCCGCCAAAATGGCTCTCCCGGAGCAGGAGGTCGATCATTTGGATGTCCAGTTCCGACATTACGACTTCGATGGCAGCGGCGCCTTAGACTTGGAGGTGCCCCCTCTGGGTGATGGAAGGGGGGTGTACTCTGATGGTTTTTCACTGAGTGCTTGGGGTGTTAAAGGATCACTTTCAGTCTCATGACTCGTGAAAATTCACAACATTCACGTATCATTTATATATTATAATGTGTATATATATATAAGTGGATGGGATTATTTCCATCCTCATATTATCAATATGTATAAATATCCAATCTTTATATATTATCAATATTTATCAATATTTATCATCAATATCCCATGTTTATCAATATTTATCAATATGCCATATAAGATTTGTTTTTCCGTCTCACGATGTTTTGGAACCTCTCTGGAAGTTTGTTTTCCGCCAGGAAGTGCGGAGTATCCTGGCAGATATCGGCCTCAGCCCGCAGAACCGCGAGGAAAAGTTTGAGGCCCTGGGGCCCAGGTTCTGGGACCTTGGGGACCATGAGCAGCGCTTCAGCGGACAATCCAAGCGGAGATTTGGAGATTTGTTGTTTGTTCCGGAATTGGCTATATAATATAAAGGATATAAAAGGAAGAAAGTAACATAAACATATCCAAGTTAGTAAACGGTATATTTCCTCAAAACAATCCAGTGTTTGTCGTGGTTGTTGGTGAATGTTTCAAGAGCTTAATGAGAACAATAAGATCATAAAATCAACTACTTGGTTATCTCAATGTTTGCTGGTGAATGATTGTGGGTCAGATAGCGGAACCACATCCTGTCTTTCTCCATCCCTTAAGAAGCGAAGATCTTCAACTAGTGAATGAAACAGGTTTCCTAGCCAATGGGATATTTGGTTGAGCTACATCAGCTCCAGCTGTTGTAAGGTGACCGAGTGCATTAACGAAAAGGTGCAGAAAATGGGCTGTGAGGACCAATGGGATTTTACCATGATGAGATATGCAAGTGTAGATTTTACCAGCCTTACAGGTGTAGAATCTGGTGTAATCTCTTTGAGGACTGTGATGAAAGATTGATGAATTTGGTGTAGTTGATGTGCAATATTGTGCAATGATGCGCATAAGTTAGTAGATAATTGGAAGTCAGCAGTCATTGCGTTCAGGGGGCCACGGATTTTCTTTGCCCATTGGCTGTCATGTGGGTTCTGCAGGATTTCGCACAACTCTGGATGACGAGTGAGAAGTTTAAGCATCACCCAGAAGAGGTTGTTCTCAGTTATTCTCCTGATGTTTCTTATTTTGTTGGTGGTTTGGAACATTTTTTATTTTCCATAATATACGGGATAATCCTTCCCATTGACTAATATTTTTCAAGATGGTTAAAACCACCAACCAGCAATTGTTTGGACAAACCTTGTTGCGAATCGCAGGAATTTGAGTTTGAAGCTTTCTTGGACCTCCTGAAATCGGTGCGCGAACGCTTCAAACAGGCCCCGTCTTGGAATTTTCCAAGATCGCGTGTTGGAAGATCAATGGGATTTGATTGGGAACCACATTTGCGAACCAGATGGTTTTGGTATGTTTTGGTTATTGATTCCATGTCAACAGGATATTTAAACCCAAACCGCCTGAGGAAAATTCTGCCATATCCCTCCATTTGCGATGATTTTGGTTTTCTGAATCCACCATGATTGTTTGGGGCATCAGCAATCTCCAGGTGCAGAGCATCAAATGCTGGAGGCTCTTCCATGAGGCTTGCGGCATGCCGTGCCTGTTTTGCATTGGGTTGAACAGTTTGTGATTTTTCGCCAACCAATTTGGGACATGTTGATAGAATTTGGGGATTTGACCAGCCGACTATTGAAGATTCGAACAAAAAAAACATGCTAGCCAGCTTGGGTTGATGATGTTGATGAGGATGAGGATGAGGATGATGATGATGATGATGATGGTGACCTTCCGACTCGATCGTAGGCGGATGTGATTGGCAGAGACAGCTTGGAAATGCTGAAGATCATGGCATTGTTGGAGCGGCCACGGGCGGAGGGCAGACTGGGATTCATTCAGGGCTAAGACGTGCCGTTCTCAACTGGCCCCATTTAATTGGTGGATATACACCACATATGTGTTGCCATATGGGATTTTCATATGCCTGATTAATCCTAATTATGCCCTTGAAATTTATAGCCCTGCCTTGAATACGTAATTTCCATAGGAACGATGATGCCCGACAATTCAATGACCAATGCTAAAAAACAAATGTTTGGAAGGAGTGGATTGAAACCACCATCCACAGAACCATTCGCGATGGCACTTCAAACGAGAACACCATTGCTTTATTGGCTTGGTACCCATGGTGAGCCACTGTTTGTATATACAATTAAGGTGATTCAGAACTGCGACTGCGACTTCCGTACCAAAAAACAAGTTCAATAAAACATAATAAAACTACATTGAACATCTTATGTAAATTAGTGTAAAAATCATGAAAAAATATGAAACATCTAAAATCCTATGGAAATTGTATGAGACGTTCTATACATCACCTTTCCTTCCAAGGCATGGCCCGGCAGGAGACGAAACTGGGCTTTTACTTGAGGTCCTCAGAGGAGAATTCCGAGGCCGATGTGGCGAGGAATCATGGGGGCTATGGGTATGAAATGGGGATAATGTACTGGTAAATATATATATATAATCATATATATAAATATTATATATATATACATATATAGATAATAATATTTATATATTATAAATTATAATAATATATATATATAATATAATATAATAATATATATATATATATATATTATATATATTATAATTATATATAACATATTATTGTTATATATAATATTATGATATTATAGAATATAAATGCAAAAAACAACGAGATAATAATATGATATTATATTGGCATTAATATGGCATTCTCAATAGTGTACACATTGTTTCTTTTGACATACAATCATCCTGAAGTAGATAGAATATGGATTTTTGAAAGATATATTTAAAGTTTTGTGATGAAGTTTTGGAGTGTCCTAATATTATCTACTGGGGGTGCCTGGTTTGATTATCGGATAACTCAAAATAACAATATGTAAGAATCGTTGAAGAATCTTGCATTCATGTGTCTAACCAGGCCAACATGGGCTCTGGGACCATTGAACCTGGGGAAATAACATGTATGTCACGTCTAATCTTTACATTCGTCAATAGTGAACAGGAAATGCCAAAAAAACTTAATTACTTGGCAATAACACGTTCCTTTAAGAGAAATAACATGTGTTCTTAAATGTGCGTAGTGTAAGCACCTGATAGAAATCCTAGAAACATTGAGGATTTCGCCAGGTTCTCCAGAACACCACAAAAACAGCGGTAGCTGGTAGCTGCCGAGGCAATCAACATCTTTGCGCAGTGTGACACCGACTGCGATGGTCCGGATGCCTCCCTTTTTTGGGGCCGACTATAACGGGGATTCGAGATTTTACAATCAACAATTTTTATAGATGATTCAAGGCGATTCTCCTATTGAACACGGGGATCTACATTGCCAACCAAAACTGTATTCAGCTTGAAGTCGTTTGTCTGAAAATTGGGCCAACATCTCCATGGTGAATCCTCAGTTTCTCTGATTCGTCTCGAAAAACCCGGTTGACACCGAGCCTTGACACCGAGGTTGTTTGAATCTGGATGAATTTCAGGCCTTCGTACAAAAGGCTCGGCGGCTCGGCGCTTTTCCGACCAAATCAGGGATACCCTGCATGACGCCATAAGTCGCATGAGTTGGGGATTGGAAGACTTCCTCCAAAGATTTTTAATGGCAGGATCTACCTGGGGGCATGGTCAATCGGTAAATCATGGGATTTTCCAGGTCGTCTGACTCGATCATCCAAGAGGAAGCTACAGAAACCATGGATCCAATGTTATGATTGGTCGTTTCAGTGCATGGCCAGTCTCGCTCTCCATGTTTGATGGTCATGAAAATTACCCATCATTACCTAGAATTTCTGGTTCTAGCCTAGCCCCATTTTTCAGATGAAACCCAGTTTTCACCCCATGTTTGTTGGTTAATTCTAGTTAAACCCCAGTTTTCAGATGAACCCCTATTGAAACCCCATTAGAAAACCCTAGTTTGTTCATAAAACTAGTCTGTTGCCGCCCAATTTGGTGAAAACGGGTATCCCGGGGTTGGCGAGGTGCGGGCCAAGCTGCTGACGCTGCGGAGAAGGGAAGAAGTTCAAATTGCGAAGAAGCCACTGAGATCCAAGAGCTGCAGTATATTAGTAGGTGTTAACGGGATTTAGTGGGATTTATATCATGGAATTTATATGAATTTATATAGAAGGGGAAAAAATATCAACAATCTGATATTTGGATTTGGTTGAAAATGGTGTATAGACCTAGTCATGGCCATTTGAAAAGGCAAAATTATAATTATCCACCGGATGGATTTAGCATGATTTTAACATCAAATAAAGGGAATTAAACAATACTTCTTTTCTGCAAAATATGAAAAACAAGACACAGAAACCATGGTTCCGTAGGGGATTTAGACATATCTCGAACCATTAAGGGCCTGAACCTTCAAACGAGCAAAAATATTTGCTCTTTCTTGTTTTGAGCTCAAACGAGCGTTATTCAGGCAAACGAGCAAATATTGGTGAAACGAGCACATTTCTTAAACGAGCATTTTTTTAACCACATATGGTAGCCATTTGGCTCATTTTACTTCGCTATTCATTGAGATGAATGCGAGATCAACAAGTGCCCCTCCCAGCACCATATGCCCTGCCCTCGCAGGTTTATTGTGCACGCCACCGCAGGTACAGGAACACCGCATTGCCTGCTAGAGGAGTTGCTTGGAGAGGCCCATTGGTTCTGGGGGATCCAAACAGGGATGTACAGCTTAGCTTAGATTGATGATTAACAAGTGCAACTCCATGGTCCCATGCCCAAGGCCATTTGGTTCTAGTCCCCCAAACGCCCTTAGCGGGCCATCATGGCGCCGGCTGATGCCATTGCTTCTGTGGTTGGGGATTGGAAAAAGGATGAGTTTCTCATGAAACAAGCATCGACGGGGATCATGGCAACATGTGGGCCTAAAGAGGAAGGGGTCACCCGCGAAGATGTTTGTGCGAACTACAAGGTGCTGATGCCAATTGTCAAATACCTTGGAAACCTGGAGAAACCTATAGCATCGTATTTCCATATTTTTTGGGGTATTTCCCCACCTGCCAGGTGAGGGCTGTTAGATTTTATGTCAGTTGCCTGCTCCTCTCCTCTCCTCTCCTCTCCTCTCCTCTCCTCTCCTCCTCCTCCTGCTCAACCGCGATCCACGCTCAGTGTGCCCTGCCGGACCTCAACCACGACCATCCACGCTCAGTGTGCCCTGCCGGACCTCAATGTCAGTTGCCTGCTCCTCTCCTCCTCTCCTCCTCCTCCTGCTCAACCGCGACCCTCGACGCACAGTGTTCTCTGTCGGACCTCAACCACGACCATCCACGCCCAGTGTTCCCTGCCGGACCTCAACCACGACCATCCCCGCCCAGTGTCCCTGCCGGACCTCAACCACGACCATCCACGCCCAGTGTTCCCTGCCGGACCTCAACCGCGAGTATCCACGCCAAGTGTTCCCTGCCGGACCTCATGTAGGAAGATATGGGACAAAGAATGTGCAGAAGATTTGCCAGATAGAATGCCAGATAGACTGTCAGAAGATATGCCAGAAGATATGCCAGATAGAGTGCCAGAAGATATGCCAGATAGAATGCCAGATAAAGTGCCAGAATGTTTGCCAGATAGAATGCCAGAAGATTTGCCAGATAGAATGCCAGATAGAATGTCAGATAGATTGCCAGAAGTATGCCAGATAAAATGCCAGAATGTTTGCCAGAACATTTGCCAAAAGATTTGCCAGATAGAATGCCAGATAGAATGTCAGAAGATATGCCAGAAGATATGCCAGATAGAGTGCCAGAAGATATGCCAGAACATATGCCAGAACATATGCCAGAAGATATGCCAGATAGAATGCCAGAAGATATGCCAGATAAAATGCCAGAAGATATGTCAGATAGAATGCCAGAAGATTTGCCAGTTACAAAACGTATAGATGTCATGGTGGGGATAACTCGAAGTAAAGTAATTTTTATTATTGCCCACATATGCGCACCACATTGCGATCCTTCACAGCCATCACCAACATGATGTGCCTCCATTGCCTCGCTTGCTGAGGATTGCGTCCGGGGCTGCATGACCTGATCGAAGCGGTGGCCATGTTTTTGACTCACGCGCGTCCCAGGGGGAAGCCTCTACCCAGCAGTGAAAACCTCATTTGTGAGTGCCCCAATGCATACTACAGGTCACCATTCTATGTGGCAACTTCCGGGGATTCAATTTTTTCCATGTGTGTCCCCATAACGACTATTGATCATCCCAGGTGATGTCATCAAGGTTGAGGCTTGGTTGCTCCGAGACCTTGCATATATTTTCGCTAGAGCGGCTAGAAGAGGTCATAGACCCCGGGAAGACGAGATGTTGGAACTTATGAGGGCTGCTGACATCCCCATTCCGGAGTATGTTCCACCACGTAGGTCAACATCTTCTGCTGGCTACTTTGCAGCTATGGATTCCATTTTATTTTGGGGAAATATGATATATATATATATATATATGATATATATATATATATACAAATTGTATATAAATTGTACGTGCCCAAAGCTAGCAAAGTGTTTTGATGAACCATATTGTCTTTTTCGCCCCTCTTGGCGAGGTTCCTCGCGCAATGCTCTTCCTGACCCTGCCCCTCCTTCTGATGATGGCATGGGAAACATGGAAGATGAAGATGCTGAAAGTGAAGATGCTGAACATGACGCCTTAGTTGATCCTTGCCCGGAGGATTTGGGTTTAAAACACCTTTCTAAAAATGCATCAACACCAAAAGAAAAACATGTAGGCTGGATACATTGGATACCCCCTGGAGGATGATCCTGCCCCAGTCCGCGATGCTGCCTCCAATGAGCACGCCGTGCTATCTGGAGACTGCAGTGCCTGTGCTGGCGCATTGCGCTTCCCATTCTATAAATATAGCCAGCAAATAGATAGATGAATAGGTATAGATAATGGACCCATAGACAAATACACACACACATAAAAATACATTTAATTTCTATGCATATTATTTATACATATAATATCAATCTTATAAAGGGATGTTTATGCAGGTCTTTGACTCAAAGGGTTGTTTCAAACAAGTTGTTTCCATAACGTGGTTTGCTTTCCCTCATTTAGAGCGTCGCCGTTGAGGCAACGACGCTGAAGATTTTCCTGGTGAACGCTGGCAGCACTACTTTGTGAAGGACCGAGCCCATGGGTTCAAATGCTTGAAATGCTCACTGGTGGGACGAGACATCAGCGACCTTCGTGACAAGGATTGCAAGATTCCCAGGCCAAGTGGTCCTTCCCCGTCCCCTACCTCAACAGCTCCTACCTCACCAGCTCCTACCTCAACCAGTGCCCTTCACCCCAATGCACTTGGTGCCAGTGCTGCAGTAGTTGGGGAGAAGGCTGCTTTGGATGGTGCTGCAACCAGGGTCCTCGAAGAGATGCGTCAGCTAGAGCGTGTGGAAAGAGACCTTGCTCATGAGTTGGAGTACCAGGCGTTGCTCGAGGAGGAAGAATCTTTAGAACTTGCCATGCTTGAAAGCGAATTGGCACAGCTTGAGCTTTTGGAGAAGCAAAGCGCCTTCGAAACTTCTAGTCGTGGGCCACCTCCAGCTTCAGCACCCCTGCCAAGCATGGTTGTGCCTGCTGAGGCCCCGCCGGCTGCAAGTGTTCCAAAGGCTGGCGATGAAGTGGATGACAGGAAGGGTGGGAAGAGGCCTTGGCCAAAGCCAGACCTCATGCCACCACCAAAGAAGCCTTTGCTTTTGAATCCGACAAAGGCTGATGAGCTTCCTCCTTTGAGCCCATCCAGCCAAGACCGGTATCGCTCTTACTGGTCCCGGTTTGTGGCCACGCCGCAAAACCACCACGGTCGCAAAGCCACTGTGGAGCCAACCTTCGTTCCAGCAGCCCACCTGCCTGAACCACCTGTGGGCAACCAGTTTTTGATATATATATGATGTCATTTGCATTTTTCCCATGAACAAGTTTGCTTGTCAAGGAGTACAAGGATATATGTTTATTTTAAAAAAAAGGGCCATGGGAAAGAGATCACACCAGCCAAGGCATTGACAACATGGACACGCTCCCCATGGACATCGACAAGGTGCATGTGGACCCACTTCCTCCTGCTCCAGGCAGCCCTGGGGTGAGTGGTGAAGCATGTGGGAAACCAGGTTCCAGTGATCTTACATGCAACGCAGTGCCTTCTGAAGATTTCCCACCCCGTCCTGAAGTACTTGACTCGTTGGGGCCTCTTGGACCGAAGGAGCAGCGAGCTCTGCTGCCAAAGAGGAAGAGGGCCAAGAAATCTTCTAAAGAAGATCTTGGAGAGAAACCGGATCCAAAGTCTGATGATGAGCCAAAGCCGGAGCCAAAGCGCCGGGGGAAGAAACGTCAAGCTGGAGGATCTGATGAGCCCAACCCGGAGCCGAAGCGCCGTGGGAAGAAAGTTCCAGCCGGAGGATCTGATGAGGTGAAGCCGGAGCCGAAGCGCCGTGGGAAGAAAGTTCCAGCCGGAGGATCTGATGAGGTGAAGCCGGAGCCGAAGCACCGTGGGAAGAAAGTTCCAGCCGGAGGATCTGATGAGCCCAAGCCGGAGCCGAAGCGCCGTGGGAAGAAAGTTCCAGCCGGAGGATCTGATGAGACGAAGCCGGAGCCGAAGCGCCGGGGGAAGAAAGTTCAAGCCGGAGGATCTGATGAGGAGCCAAAGCGGCCGGGAGGATCTGACATGCCCAAGCCAGAGTCAACAGCTGATTCTTCTGACAAGCCAAAGCCAAAGCCCAGGCCAAAGGCCAGGGTCAGAAAGTTAGCTGCCCCATCCAATGGTGCTGCTGGATCCACTGCTACTGAGTTGGCTGCTGGTGGCCTTGCCATGGCCAGCGCTGTGGCCACATGCGCAGCCGCTGATGTTGCTGAGACTGGTGATGGAGTTTCAGGTGGTGGACCTCCAGATGCACCACCTCCGGATGATGCATCTACTACGGCAACTGTGGGGGATGAAGACAGGAAGAAGAAGGCTTCCCGAAAGTCATCTGCATATCATGTTGCCAAGAAGAAGGCCCTCAAAGATGGAAAGAGCTTGGACGAAGCCAAGGAGATTGCAAAGCTGGTTGCTTTGGCTGCGATTTGTTAAAAAGTTGGTTTGCCCCCACACTTCATTTGCATTCCTTTCGCCATTCTCCTACACCTACAACAATTACCAGGGAAAAGGGGTCCGAATATTCAACAGCACCACCAAACAAATGACATAGCAACAGAATCTGATGGATTTAAAATGATATGGGTCTACACTTGAAAACATACCTAGAAGGCTTATAATTAATAAGATTACACACACATATATATATACACATGTATATATTATATATTAATATAATATATATATATATATACATGCATATATATATATATATATATACCCACCTTAGTTTCCCACATGTTTCTCGGACACTTGGCCCGTGGATCCAAGGCGTACAAAAACACGTCCTGAGTCTCCTGAGCTTCCTTTGGTGACTACGTTTGACTGTGCAGATCACGGTCTTTCTCGTACAGGGTCAGCATGCGAAGCATGCATCAATCCGTTGCTGAGGGGTTTGGTTGCATAGCAATCAGATGATATGTCGAGATCTATTCACAATTTGCAGTGGGTAAGGTCCCATGCGCATCCATGAAGCTTTCCTGGATGAAAAATCAATAGCATCCCTTCAACTCCCTTTAGATCGCAGTAAGTCTGGCTAGCTGGACACAGTTCAATTGTCTTAAATTTGACTTCGCAAATGATATATGAGGATATATATATATATCTTATTGACCCTCTGCTGCAGGCAAAATGCCTCGGAGACCTCACTGGATGCGGACTGCTATCCTCACTGGCCACTTCTGCCTCGCTTGTTGCCGCTGCGCTTGTGGTTGTGGCAAGGCAATTTTACCCCAAAATCAATGGGTGGTGTTTTTTCTGGGTATGGAAGTTCAGGTGAATTCTGCTGGATAAACAATTGTTCTGCATTCCAAACCAAACCGTAGCAGTTTGGGGTTTCAAAGCTACAACAGTTAGCTACAGCTTTAGGGTCAGAGTCCACGGTGAAGGCCATGGAATACTCTCCGGTGTTCAATCTGCAACATGTGCAGGCACCGAAGGTGGGATAACCAGGTTGCAGTTTTGCTAGTCGAGTTGACCAAGGGGTGCTACTGCCCAGTTATTGAAAAACCCAATGGACAAGGGTTCAGTCATATGCACATCGCTCCACACAAACGCATAGACTTCAATCGTCTTTGCAGGTGCTGATAGCAATAGCTGGGGCCCTGATAGAACTGACAGCCCTTGAATTGTTGAGTAGCGTCCGTTATATATAACTCCGGGTCTCTCATCCCATGAGGTATTGATGATGGGATGGCTTGATGACTATGCCAGCCCTCAATCCTTCGATTTTTTCGAAGTCTTTGCTGGGGCCCAGGCCCTCACCAGAGTCATGCCCATTCCCCAGACGGCCTGTAAGACCTTGTCTAGCCAGAACAATGGCCCCTTGACTTGCCTAGGCACGAGAATGGATACCGGGTTGCTTCCTATGACAAGAACTTCAATGACCGTGTCATGCAGTTCAATTCTTCGGCAGGGTGGTTGTTCCTCACCTGATATGTATTACTCCGGACATGGGCACTATGATATATATATATATTTATATATGTATGTATAATGCGTGTATTTTATGTTATAATATATTATATATATAATTGTAATCCTATATCATTCTATTTATATTTCTTTGCCCCATGGATATGGATGAAGGGTCCCCTGGCAGCTAACGCTGACTGAGGCTAGTGATTTGGACCCTCCTTCATATGCCAGTGGGCGCTTTCGTGCATTTTGCCCCTGACTGCTCTAGTTGGGGAGTGCCGTCTCGTGGAACTAGTTGGCGCACCCTCGTCAACACTTCTGGTAATATCATGCTTGAATGGATTCGAGTTGGAAACGTCCAAGTTTCACGGTTCCTCATCCATGCAAGTTGAACCTGTGGGTTGGTGATGTATGTTCTGTTTTAATTTTGTTCCATATATGATTACTGTAAATGCAACCTACTGACTCCATTGGGCCCAGGTTAACTTTGGCAATTTTGGTTACGCTATCCAGAAACATGGTATGGACACTGGAGCAACCTCGTGATTCGCTATTAATTCGTCACAGGCGAATGGATTGGATTTGCAACAAAGTGTCTCTCGTAGCTGGGTGAGGATTGCACTACTGCATAAAAAGTTTAGCTGAAACAACCATCTGGGGGTCATGTCCACCTGTAACTAAGGTATATCAGTGAAGGTTTTGGATGATGCTTCACGGATCGGGTTCTGCGAAGCCCACAGTTTGTTATTCAAACATGAGGGAAATTGAAGCACTTGACCTTGGACCCCTTCGAAAAGAAGATCGTGAACAAAATACCACTTTGAGAACTACTCGAAACTTAAAGGCAATACCGTGTTGCAATATATATTGCCCATGGGAGTGTTTTTCCATCGCGCCCCAATTGCTGCCTTGCTGCTTGCTAAGGACGATACATCGACAGAAGTGGTCGCAAGCGCTTTCACGGCACTCCTGAGCTGCGAGCTTCACAGTCCCGTGGCTACTGCGATGAAGGATATGGGTTATATGTTGGGGGATTATTGATATACAATAGTTCCATAGTTGTTCCCACTTAGGTCTTATCCAGCTGGATTTGGGAGAGCTCTGTTGGGCGTCTATGAAGCCCATGTGTCTGGTACTCCATACAGACGGGACTTGCGTTACAAGCCACAATTGTCAGGGGATTTGGACCCAGTTGAACAATTTCGGCGCCTCCCAATGGGGGATGTTTGGGATGACGCACAGCTTGTGGGGCCGCTCAAGTACCTCTTCAATTCCCGGCTCTTGAGGTAGGGTGTTGGCCAATTATTTTCCAGTGGAACATGTATTCTTGATTTCTCTGTATCTCTTTTCCTCCAGGATCCCAGAGCCTTGGGTAAGTGCGATGACCCAATTCGTAGAGGACTATGAGCGCGAGGCTGGATTTCCCAAGTCAGCTCCTTTCCATCAAGCTTCATACATACTGCTAGCTATCTCAAATATGATTTTGGGAGGTCCTTGGCGACCCTGAGACGCGTGCAGAACTTATGGCACTGCAGAGTGATGCCGGTTTCAGAGCCTGTTTCAATATTTAGTCTAATTTAGAGGATGAAATCGGCCGCGCACATGTTCAGAATGAAACTCTATGACATTTCCACATTTTTGTGCAACTTGTGTGGCTGGTACAGCTTCCAGATGCTTCTAGGGGGTTTTTGGCTGCGAAAAACAACCCGCAGCAACGAGCGCAAATACCCGCAAACGAGCGCAAAAAAGCGCAAACGAGCGCAAACTGAAAAAGTGTGCTTTTCAGAATTTAGTAATTCACGAAGTAAGTCCTGAAAAGCGCATGTTTGCACCAAAAACCTGCTGAACATCATCCACTTTGCATTTTTGGAGTTACACACTAGCACATGTCATATAAATTTCCTGAAGACCATTTAGGCTGAGCATGGCTTCCCGGCTTAATAGTTCCAAGACCCTGCTTGAAGGGATGGAGGCAGTTAAGTTTGAAGGTGCAGGTGGTTCCGAATCAAAAAAACGTGACCTTGCTGAGATGATCCGCGTGGCTTGAAAGCAATAGTTAGTGTTCAGAGCAGCTGTTCTATCCAATTCTTTCGAATCTCATGCAGCCCATAGCTACGAAATGCACATCGCACAATATATATATATAATCTCGTGTTATACAGCTCAGGTGAAGAAGGAGCGTATTGAGACACTTCGTCGAAAACTTTCCAACCAACCATCCCTTACTGTGCCATCCCCTGACATGCCTGGTAACTAAGCTGCATATAAACCCTCACAGACAGAGAGAGAGAGAGAGATAGAGAGAAAGAGAGAGAGAGAGAGAGTAAAAGAGTCCCACACATACATACACACAGACACACACACTCACACACACACACGCATGTTTGTCAAGCCCAGGAGCTCCTTGCACAGCTTCGCAAGGTGGGTCGTACTGCGCTGGGCTGCCTGAGGGATCTGTCCCAGAGAAGTCCGATACCCTGAAAGATGCCCCAACACGTGATTTTACGATCACTGATGGTCAACCAGTGCCAAATGATTCTTTGGAGCTTCTTTCCTGGGAAAATCATTGGACTGATGCTCAGCCAAGGGAATCACCATACTTTGAAAAAATGGACCACACAGAACCTGTTGAGCCGTCAAAGGAAACCACTGTTCCTGAGCCCACCCCGCCTGGGGAAGTTGCCAGTGCCAGCTCAGACAAAGTGTCACCTGAAGCAGCTGGTGCTGAGCCCAGCCCAGCTACACCGACCCCAACAGTGGCTGAGTCAACGGTGGCGGGTAGCCCACCAGGGAGCCCATCGCCCCATCGTCCTTCCAGACGTGGGAAATCCCCGACGTATTTCCGGTTTCTAGGTGGTGATTTTGCAAAGCATGCAGTTCCCAACCAGATATTGAATAGTTCCCAGACATTAGCAGCATGCATGTTGGATACTAAGGCTTCACCGCTACTTCCAGCCAAGGAAGGGTGGGGTGTTGAAATGTTCAAAGGAGGCACATCAAATGTGGAAAACCGAAGCCGGAAGTTTTTTGGCAGCAGTAATAAAAACCGAAAACTCAACTTGCACATTTCATATATGAAAACTCACAGTTCAAGTCACAATCCAAATGCTGGGTCCATCTAAGGGAAGGAGCTGACTAAGATGTTGAAGGAAAAGGGTTCGCTGGACGAGATGGAGGTCACCATTAGGAAGAAGCACACCAAGAGCAACAAAAATTCTATGGAAGGTGGTTGGTACACAAAAGAGTATCTTCAGAAGATGGGTGGCTGGAACAAGACCGACACCCAGTCAGTGCGATTTGATGGATTACCTCGTACTGTTCTTTAAACAAAATAGCGATTATATAATTTGATATCTGCCCAGGAAAATGTGCGATCATGCATGGGCTTGGGCAGAAGCGCTGCAGAAGAAGACCGGGAATAAACAAATTAGGACAAATGAGGTGCACGGGGAAGAGGAAATCCGCTGCGTTCTCAATGAACGCTTTGAGCTTGCTGACTTGGAGACTGAAGAGACCGATAGAACAGGAAGTTTTGCCATGCAGGAGGGGTCTAATCCACTGCCTTCCGTTTCCCCCATTCAAAATCCATCATGTGAATTTTCCCGTCAGCTCCCCCCGGCCTCTAGGACGAAGATGGCACGCTGTTGGAAAGTGACCTTCCGACAGTGGAATCTGAGCAGACCGGTGGTGCAGATGGTGCAGATCCAGCCCCTCAAGCCCCTGATATGTCCAAGTGCATGAGTTTCAAGTTCCCTGACCTGGTTGGGACATCCACGCCGATGTGAAGATTATATAATGCATGGTATAATATGTATATGATATGCATGTATGCATGTATTATGTGCACTTACACGTATACAGAATATGCACAAGAAAGTCCCAGCTCGTTGCAAGATCCAAGGTTGCGATTCCCCACTGTGACGTCGACTACAAGTCCAATACATGTCCTGCCCCAATATGTTGATGTGCTTGGCCGCAAGCTGGACAAGTGCCAGACCGAGATGGACCGCTACTGTCACACATGCTAGCTGTTTTTCTGATCCTGCAAAGGCACTCTTAAATCCAACAATCCAGGTCCAACATCCATACATAGATTCGAAAATCTACATGTCGGATCACGTCGGCATGCTTTCAAGTTGGTACCTAGCCTCACATCATCTCACATCCCGGGCAGGATCGCCTGGCCAAAGTCGATAGTACTGTGGCCAAATCGTTGCTTGGATGGATGGGCTGAAGCCTGCAGCTTCACAGGGTACCGGCGGGGCAATGAGACATGTGGTCATGTGGGTGTGTGTGTGTGTGTGAAGTAACATGTGCTTGCTCCAACTTAGGCTGGTGGCACAGATCCAGGACATTTGGAACAAGCTGCAGAGCATGCATGGCGAGCTCACTCACCATCTCTCGGAAGCTACTGTGAACCCTGAGACAATGGACAAGAATCTTGAGCTGGCCATTGATGTTCAACTCATAGCATTTAATTTGTCAAAAGTATTCATGGTTCTGTGCCACTGCAATCATATGAATTTAACAACATATATGAGGAACCAGCGAGACGCTATCCAAGCTACATATTGCAAGATCACCAAGCTCGATGTTGCCATGAACGGGATGCTTCAAAGGGTCAAGCAGCTTGATCAGACTTACAGAACCCTAGCTCTTAAAAATCCAGTGTCTTGTTCCCATGTTCCATAGCGCTGTTCCCCTGTCCCAGCCCTGACATAATTCCACCATTTGCCTGCACAGGGGCGTGTCGTCGCAAAGGGCTGCCTCGTCTGATGCTGGCAACCGGGCCCCCAAAAAGCCTAAGGCTTCTAAGGGTACTAGCCCCAAGAAACCAGCCAAATCTCCAAAGAAGCCAAAGAAGTCCAAAAAGGGCAAGGAGGCAAAGACTAAGACTGAGACACCCAAGGAATGAATATACTTGGTTTTTGTTGGTATGATGTGACATGCGTGGCTTTTGATGGCGATGCCTGATTTATATTTATATTCTTTTTCTATTTGTGTCATATGATCCAATGTCAAAAACAGCTGTTGGTTTACTGTTGGGGATGCATTGCCTTGCGCCTGGAGCAGTCGCATTAAAGCCAGAGATCTCAAAAAGCTTTCAAGACCCCTCGGGACTCGAGACACATGTGTGGGAGAAAGAAAAGGAACCGGTGGAGGCAAATGCACAGAGTTGGGCAATCAGCTGTGTGTGTGTGTGAATATCTGTATTTACACACACACATGTTGTAGAGCACATGTGATGCTGCATTTGCCAGGTCACCGACCTGAGCTGGTTTCTAGAGGTTACTCGGCTTCATTAGCCATTGCTTTCCATTCATGCGACTTTAGCCCCCAAACAACCATATAGATGCATATAGATGCATATAGATGCATATAGATGCATATAGATGCATATAGATGCATATAGATGCATATATCCTAAATCCACAACCTGCTCAGGCTGCTGCGACGTGCAGAGCGACACTTCTGGGGAGGAACTTCAAACTGAGATGATCGAGAATTTTGCCAATGGAGTGCCTTGGCCTTTCATGGGACAAGTATTGAATAGCAACACTCAAACAACATTACGTGGGTATCTTTCAAGTTATGCTGGCTTTTACAGCCAAGGCAACTGCTGAAGATGTCTTGCGGCAAGTCCAGAAAACCGAGAAATTGTTGAACAAGAAAGGACCCTTTCCAATGATATGAGCTATTTGTTTTTGCTTTCACGTATCTGTATATATTGATATATGTATTTTCGAAATAATATGATTATATGTTATCTATACATATATATAGTTTCTCTTTTCAGGGTTTGGCTAGTAAGGAGTCCGTGATCACACCATTTCGGGCCTATCACGATGTGGTCGCAATCTTCGCACCGGAAAAAACCATAGTAGAAACTTGTATGGCTACATCCAAAAAAAGGGGAAAGCTCTTCCCGTGCCAGTCTCCACTGTGACAACCCCCATCAGGGTTTCCAGACGTCGGAAGATGGAGCTACGACCTTGGCCAGTCATGCACTTGTCGAGCTGGGCAAAGATAGTGCTTGAACAGTATGGTGGCTTCTTCTTCTTTGGAGGGATGACTTTAAACAACTTGCCTGATGTAGAGGCCATGTTGTCTGGTTTTTGGGACAAATATCAAAAGGCCGAGGGAGAGTCGACAGAACACCCAACCCGAACTATTCCCTACATGTTACATGGTGACGAGGGCCGTGGACGCTGCAAGCGCCCAGTACTCATTGTAAGTTTTCAAGGGGCACTTGGATGGAAGAAGGATGCCAACTTGTCCATGGATGACTTGTTGAACTCCAAGAAGAATTTTGGTAGAAAGTCTGTATTTTTATTGGTTCCTCCTGAAGGTCGTATGTTTCAAAGTAATTGCTGGCCTATTTCCTCTGGGGCCATTCACCTGCGCATGTACTGAGGAACACTTTCACAACCCGGATGCTGTTTATGCTGCTCCCGTCCGAGAACTACGCGCCACATGGGCAGACTCAGCAGTGCCTACTTGATAGTCTTGCAAGTGACTGCAACAAACTGTATGCAGAAGGTATCGAGGCCAGGTATCCAATGATGTGCAGTCAGTGTTCTGTTCCCATATGTCCCCATATGTGGTGTTTCTGCACTTTACCTAATCATTTTTTTCCAAATGGCAGGTGACTTGGAAGGGTGAAACCCATCGCTTCTACTTCCATTTTCTGGGAACAAAGGGTGATTGGCCATGGTTACGATCTGCATATCGCCTCTACAGCGGCTTCACAAGTCGCCAGATTTGTCATAGATGTGATGGCAAGGAATCTTGACTAAAGCCATGAAGAAATATCATTTTCATCCTTTCCCTATAATTTTAGTTTATCACCTTCCACCTTATCCCATCTAAGGAGTGGTGGAACTTGGGGCCCAACGCAGAAGTGCGAACTTGGCCACGTGATCGCCTGGCTGCAAATCCATTCAAAAGTGGTCGGGTCTCTAGCTTGAGGAGAATAGTTCCCAATGGATTACGGCCTGACAAGATTCGCATTGACCTCGCCCACACATATGCGATATGTGGTTGGGGAAAGGATGACTTAGCATCGGCTATAATATTTCTTGCCGTCCATTGCAGTCTGTTTGGGAATGGTGTTTTGGAACATAAACTTGGTCTGGCCTATGAAAGCTTCGTGGATTACTGCAAGCAGCGTGGAAAAACAACTACTATCATGGAGTTCTCAAAGCAAGAGCTGAAGATCACTTCGCTTTTTGGCATAGCTGTAAGAAATATTTGCTATAGGCTATAGCTCTTTTTGTGGGTACCCAAACACAGTATCGGTAACCTCCCAAAGGGTTGCTTCAAGGTTGCTATACTTCAAGGTTATCCCCACCAGTTTGACGCCTCGCTTCTGCCCAGGTTGAGAAACTTTCCAAGGGGCCTTGGCAAAGGCTTTGATGCAGCGCTACTGGGAGCTTGGCTTGGCAGCGTCGTGGATAATGTCCAGGATGGTGACATTCCAGTCACTTGATTTTTGAACATATCTAATTAGCCATAATCCAATCCTGATAATATATATATATATATTGTATATACCCCGCATATGAACCACACAAACTGAGCAATGATAGTTGATTTTTGATATAGGTGTGGGGGAGATATTTTTTTAATAGCTATATGAGCTCATATGATCAATGACCCTATCCAATAGCACCCCTTGCCGGGGCCAAGGAATGCGAAAAAGAGTTGTTTCGAGTTGTGCAGTTTGGGCTGCGCTCCACCAACAAGTTCTTCAGGTTGATTTACTGTGGGAAACTCTGGCTGCCCCGGTCAGTGGCCGAACAAGTTGTGCGTCATGGGTGGAACATGCTGGAATCTTTGAGAACAAAATATTATATGTTTTTTTCCCCACCTGCCAGGTGAGGGTTGTTAGATTTTATGTCAGTTGCCTGCTCTTCTCCTCTCCTCTCCTCTCCTCTCCTCTCCTCTCCTCTCCTCCTCCTCCTGCTCAACCGCGATCCACGCTCAGTGTTCCCTGCCGGACCTCAACCACGACCATCCCCGCCCAGTGTTCCCTGCCGGACCTCAACCACGACCATCCACGCCCAGTGTTCCCTGCCGGACCTCAACCGCGAGTATCCACGCCAAGTGTTCCCTGCCGGACCTCATGTAGGAAGATATGGGACAAAGAATGTGCAGAAGAAAGTTAGAAAGAATGTCAGACAGTGTTCCCTGCCGGACCTCAACCGCGACTTCCAGATCGCAGTGGGCACTGCCGGACCTCAACGGGAAGAATGTGAGAAAAGATGTCAGATAGAATGTCAGAAGATATGCCAGATAGAATGCCAGAAAGAATGTCAGAAAGAATGTCAGAAGATATGCCAGAAGATATGCTAGATAGAATGCCAAATAGAATGCCAGAAGATATGCCAGATAGAATGCCAGATAGAACGCCAGAAGATTTGCCAGATAGAATGCCAGAAAATATGCCAGAAGATATGCCAGATAGATATGCCAGATAGAATGCCAGATAGAACGCCAGAAGATTTGCCAGATAGAATGCCAGAAAATATGCCAGAAGATATGCCAGATAGATATGCCAGAAGATATGCCAGATAGATATACCAGATAGAATGCCAAACAGAATGCCAGATAGAATGCCAGATAGAATGCCAGAAGATATGTCAGAATGCCAGAAGATATGCCAGATAGAATGCCAGATAGAATGCCAGAACATGTGTCAGATAGAATGCCAGAAGATATGCCAGATAGAATGCCAGAAGATTTGCCAGATAGAATGTCAGAAGATATGCCAGAAGATATGCCAGAACATATGCCAGAAGATATTATGCCAGATAGAATGCCAAATGGAATGTCAGAAGATATGTCAGATAGAATGCCAGAAGATTTGCCAGTAAGAACATGTATAAATGTCATGGTGGGGATCACACGAAGTAAAGTAATTTTGGTTGTGCTTCTAAAACATATATAATGCATCAAGTATTGTGCGCATGTGCCTGTGCAACTTCTCGGTTGGAATGTAAGGAAGCATATCAAGGATGTGCACAGCTTGCCTCCAGAAAACAACGGAGCCTTTGGTATATGAGACCTAAAGTCCATATGCAATCGCATATTGTGCGCCATGGTTGCAAACATGGAGGGATTATATAGTACTCATGTGCACGTTGCGAAATCTTAAATGCACAATCTGACATCGAGCTACTCGACTAAGTCGGGACCTGGAGTACCAAGTGCTAGCTGGATGCGATCACTGCCTCAACCCGGCATGCCCAGACCTCAAATGTGCTGAGGATCATGTGCCTGATACCTTTACATATATTAGCATATCATGTGCGTGCATGCCTGCCCATGCGTAAGGCTTTGCAACGTGGAGTGACGAAGACTTCATAGGACGCATAGCGCGATGTGCCCGCAAGGTACATCCAATTCAAATGGCACGCAACACTATCAAGCGTTGCTTAATCACTTACAGGAAGGAATGGCTGAAGGTCATGCCCCCTGTCTGGGAGTCCCAACGTTGGCAATGGTGACAAGCTTCGTGACGAAGGCGAGCAAAAATGTGATTGTGCACACAATGTGTGTATTGTGTCCCTGATCAAGGCTGGCTGACCGAGGTGGATGGAGTTTGAGGAATTTATAAGATAAGAGGCATCCCAAACGAGCACTTTTTTTTGGGGTATCCCAAACGAGCGTTTTTTTTTTAAAGGAGCAAATTTTGCCTCGAGCATTTATTTATGCTCTTTTGAGGCTAGAGGGGGTGTCTATTGTTGGGGGAATATGGATATAATGGGGATATCAAGGGGATTTGAGTGGAATATTGGTGCGCCTGAAAATGAGGTATACCCTCCTTCAACGTGAATTGAACATGAACAAATATGGCCAAGCACTGGATTTACGAGCACCTATTGTCACACAAAGCCATGTATTCAGATGTATATATATATATACATATTAATTATTCGAGAATAAGTGACCTGTATTTCATCAAGGAATGTTTGGGTAAAAAAAAACGAGCTGAGCTTGGTGCGCACAGCAAAATGTTCGAGGCGGCACGTCTAACACCGGCATGTCTAACACTACTGCTGCTGCTGCTGCTGCTGCTGATGATGATGATGATGATTACATATGTGTTTACATATGTGTGCAAGTGTGTTTGCAGTGCAAGTGAACCAGTGTTGTCCCATTGTTGTCCCCATCCCACCCCTCACCACCACACATCATTTGGCTTGGGCTGAGGTTTGATCTAGAGCCAGAGATTCTCCATGAATTCCGTCGCTTGGTGGGTACCAGTGCCAGATACGTGGCATGTTTTTCCCATCCCACCAGGGACGATCGAAATTCATATTCCTTGATGGTTGGCAAGAAGCAGCGGTCGCACATGGTTCTCAATTTTGGGATACACTGAAAAAGATCCAATCCCTGATTTTGATGCTCAGATCCGTGCATATTGGGTGCCCAACTACCGCGGTCCTCTGAGGGCTTGCCGATCAGAGTTGGTTAGGATTATATATGATGCTCCAGGGGGAGTTAGAGTCCTGGGGGATAAATTGAACTTCATTTTTTTAAACGGTGGCACCCCCAAATCATCCATATTCATATTATAGGATTTTCCACACTATAAACCATCCATTTTGGGGTGCCCCTATTTATGGAACCCCCCCTCGAGTCAGTCCGCTTGGCTATCTGAGGTTCCGATTTGCCATCTTTTTGGAAGATTTTTGAGCGCTATTCCTTCAACAAAGTCGACCAAGGCCTGGGACTTCTTGAAGGTATTTGAAGGTGATGAAGCATTGAAGCTTCCTTTATCATTTTTTAAAAGAATGGAGGATGAACTTGAAGTATTCAAAATGCAGGATTTTCTAAGGTTTTAAGCATCAGGCTTTTGTTATATTTCAGACTCTTGCCGGTTGAAGGCTCCCGTGTTTGGTGAAATCTAGCGATTGTGAGTGGATTTGTCATCCCTTGCCATCCAGGAGTGCGCAAGGAAGATTTGCTGCCATTTATGGTGGACATTGGTTTAGCTCCATCGAACACGGAAGAGCCACAGCATTTGGGCGACCAATAGTTCAGGGACCAGGGGCCTATAAAATGAATCATCTCGTTTGTAGGGGGTTCCTAATTTCACAATATTCCACAATAACATACAACAAGTTCGGGATGGTGTATTTTTGTGCATGTGAATGGTAGTTTCATAGGTGATATATGGTGATATAGTGTAATTAAGATACGTGTTGTCTCATATAAATCTCCAGCTGAGGTTCCAGGATTTTTTGTGAAAATTTGGGACATTTGACGAGACTTGACTACCCGGAGAGGGGTTGAAGTGACCAAATGGAGGTATACATATATATATATATATATCATATATATATATAATATGTAGTTCGGTTCAAATCAACCATAATTTGATATAGTGGTATCTATAATGAAGTGGTATGTATATATATATATAATGAACTGACTCAGGCTCAGGCTATAATTTAGATTATTTATAGTTCATAATCATGTTTGTGTTCAAAGGTCTGTCATCTTGCACCCGCAAGCGAAGATGCTCCGAATTGGTTTCTTGATGGATTGAGACAGTCATTGAACCTTTTCTAGATTGGTTGGGACTTCGATTTATCTGAATTTGGATATAATCTGAGTCTGTGTCACTCTGAAACAACATGCATATAATAATACATTATGATTTATAACATGTTCTAATCATTATTACAAAAGAAAACTTTGAGTGGAGTCCTGGAGAAAGTTTCGTCATTTGAGTACTATACACCATGTAAAACTCAAAGGTTTCTGAAGTAAAGGAGGGTTTTAAACCTTTGTTTACCCATCAATTAGGAGGCTGGATTCCATATCCAGGGCTCCTTCCTCGCCATGTGGGGCGAATGAGGTGCCTCCCACTGATCGACGTCATCTCGGAGTTCGCGCAGAAGTACACGAAGTTTCCGGTGCGCCCAACGACCTGGCCTGGCGTTCCATGAAGGGGGGTGCTGGCGCCCAATGGAGTGATTGGAGTGGTGGAGATGATTTGAGATGTGGGTTTGATGGGGTTACATAGTGTTACATAATGCTACTACATAATCCCAGTTACTACTTCTTTTTATGGCTTTATCATTTGATACTTCCATTCAACTCCAAGGTCCTCAGGAGAATGGGTTGCTTAGAGCCTCCCCAGTCGTGAGATTCTTCACTGGATGTCATAAAGATGATTTGATACAACATGATGTTCAATAAAGTATCAACTATATATTCTAAATACAAAGTTATATTTAAAATTATTTAAATATATTTAAATGAACTCTCAATAAATAATGATGATTTCTGTGAAAATTGGTTTATATTTGTTTCTTTGCTCCTTTCCCCTTCCCCTTCTTTCAGCCTTCCCCCAATCCCGTGGGATCATTGCATCTTGGGTCTTGGGGAGGGAAAACCACGGTTTTGCCATGAGAAAATCAGACACAAAGCCATCATTTGAAGCTCCGAAGATGAGCCGTTTGCCAGAGGCTTTACTGGAGATCTTACGGAAGGCAGGGGAATTGATTGGTGCCTGGTAGGGAATGGGGGAATGATCCATACCTATTGAGAATCATCCCATTTCCCAAGACCAAGGAAAACCGCCAAGAAGTTGAGCTGAAGCAGCATAGATCAGAATTCGCATGAAAGAGCCCTGAATCGATGAGGGTTTTCCAGTTTTACCTAAGAGATGTTCATCTCCGTAGTCAACCGGCCAAGTGAGCCATTAGTAGACCACCCTAATTTTAATTGACTTTGGGTGATACATGGTGATACATGGTTATACTATGTTCTACTACTGAGTTTTTTGGGATTAACTATTGATTATTGGCTGTTATTGGCTAGGGGTATAGGAATAGGATCCCACCAACAGTATCTCAATGTATCTCATCTATTGATTACAACCAATAAGTAGATAATTATATCATTGTTACAGGGATACCATGGGATACCTATAAACCTCAACTGGTATGGCATGCGAAAGACGGGGTGACCGCTCTTGACCGCTTCGCCAGGGGCGTTTGGCTGTCCGCGCCAGCTTGGAAGAGGACAACCAAGCAACGGTAGGAAAATGCAACATCAAACAGGGAATTATACTATGTGGTAAATCCTATCATTAATATCATATATATATATATTATGATATAATATATATATAATATACAGTAGTTCTAGTAATGTATATTGACCCCCCCCTGTACTACTACAGCTGAATATACATTTTCCAAGCGCCTCAACAGCCTAATCTTCGCCATTTATCACCAAACTAATATTAGAGTGGATCCTTTTGCGCTTCCCCGAAGTCTTGTGGATCAAGTAGCAAAGCGAGTGCACTTGGCCTGGGGGCCACATGCAAGTTCGGATTGGAAGGACTTTGGACATGTTCGGAAAGCCTGGAAGAGAGACCAAGATGGCTGTGCCAGACCATTGGTGATTACGAAGCTATTACTGTATGTCATATAATACCGTTACATCACCAAACTGTGAAATTTACACAAGAAGATCACACATGATCATAAAGAATCATACAGATACATGTAAACGGCTGTAGAGTCGTCAGAGAATGAGAACTGCACATGATGAATTGGCCATTGTTGGCTTCGCCGGCGTGGATAGCACTGCGTTGGTTGGTGTGGCTTTCATTTGCCAATTTTTTTGGGGGGGTCTGCGCACGTGAAAACCATGTGCAGTTCCGCGTGAGCTATGCGATGCCATGCGTTTTTTTTGGGGCCCTGACACGTGAAAACCACGTGCAACTATGAGCACGTGAGATCAGATGAAGAGCAACAGTCTCAGTGACGAGATGTGGATACTCCGAAGGAGTACTATGTCCTCCACGGTTGCGCCGGGGATGAGGATGACCGCTGGGGTTTTGACTGCTATGAGGTCGACGCTAGATGCGAGCGACACTGACTTGGAGCGGTTCCGAGCTACAGGAAAAAGAGAGATAGCGAGTGATTCACTTGTGGGCATATCTGCGGATATCTGCAGTAATTAATGGAACCAGGAATGGCTTATGTACAGATTACAGTAAGGTCTGCTTGGATCTGAATTGATGATATTTGAATGTATTTGATATCAATGACTCAATTATGACTCAAGTAATCTCAAGTAAGTGATCTGTAATTGATGTGAAAATCATTGAAACTGATAGAAAATGCGTGTTTGATCGTGTTTGTAACTTCAT